TGTATACATTATCTAGCAACTGCAAATGTGATGCGGCCAACAATAAGTTAACTCGAATCACCTCAAATTAAACCTGCAACGAATACTTGGGAATCGATACGGCTTAACGATGATCTTCTTCGATTTGATGGATTAGGTGTTTCCTGCGTAAGAAAAATATACGTTAGGGTGCCGGAGCTTGGTTCCGGCGAAAACCCTCCGATGCTTAAGTCAGTCCAGATTCCAAGAGAAGAATATCAGAGAAAATACGAGAAGAAAATATTCTAATGTCTTTCGAATAATAAAAATTACCTTTTCCCAATAAACGTAAAGCATTTATATACAGAATCTTACTATGGGCCTGGAATGTAACCTCGGGCTTTTAATTGATAATTGGGCCCAAATATTATAGTTATAATTTTTGGGCCTCATCATATTTTTGGCCCATGTACATCAAAATGTTTGATCCTTTTGAAGGATCTATGTTTGGAAGTCTCGTTGACTATAATGACGGAGATACAATTAAGACTCGTTAATTGGCTCATGATTTTGAACACGCAAAAAAAATTAATTTTTTAAATAATATGTATTATTATTCGTATTATGTAAGTACTAATCAAAATCAATATTCAAAAATTGAAACATGAAAATTGGTTTCGATTGAGTTTGATCATGAGACGTAATGGTAAGCTTAGAGTTCGAACGAGTTACACTCGAGCTCGAGCGCAAAAATTTACTTGAGTCCGGCTTATTTCCGCTTGTACTACCCTTATAGGCTTTAGCATACTATTTTAATAAATAAAAGAGTAAATTACAACCACCGCCCAGAGGTATGGTCAATTTACGAAAAAATCCCTATAGTTTGGATAATTACATTTATCTCCTCAACTATGATTGTTTTCTTACATCTCCACCCTTATGGTGTCAAATTCAACATAATCATCTAGATTTCATGAAATGTGCTCTAGTTTGTACTTGTTTTGTGTAAAAATACTGTTTCTGATGCATCACAATCTGATATATACAAGCCAAAAAACACATATTATGATCATCTTGCTTCAAAATGTGGAGTTCGAATGGAATAAAACGGGTACAAAAGTGATAATACTCTATAAATCTCGAAGATTCCACTAAATTTGAAACCGCAAGGATAGACGTGTAAAAAGATTTATAGTTGAGCGGTGGTTGTAATTACCCAAATAGGAGGGGAATTTTATAATTTAACCATACCTCAGGGGTGGTTGTAATTTACCCTAAAAAAATATGAGAGGCTGGACAGGGGCAATATGGTCTTATCATAGTAAGTCAAATTTCTCGAAAATCGTTCAACAGTGGGCCCGAGTTTTCCAGTTCAATTTGGAGTTTGGACCCAATTAAAAAGTAATTAACTGAACCCAATTTAAATAATGTGCTCCTTTTTCCAGCAACGAAAAGTGGACACCCTTTTTTGATTTGTCTGCTTCTGATTCGCACTTTTACGAATCGCTGCTCGTGAAAAACACGATTTACATGCATTTTTTATTTTACTGGCAAAAAAAAAAAAAAAAAAAAAAAAAAAAAACTGCTTCCATTCACAAAAGTGGATTTTTCTCGTAGAGGCTCTCCTGGCCTCCGAAGTCAGGTTTTTTAATTTAATTACTGATTTGTTTCGCTTCGTATATTATCAATTTGATTTCAGATTCTGCAATGGCGCGTTCGTTGAATGTAATCGGATTTAAACGATTTGTTTACGTTTGTGAATTGTCAGCTAATAACGATTAATAAAATGTCTGTTTTAATGAATTTTGATGAACTGCAATTTTTTTCTCGGGTGGCGAATGAATTTTGTTTCGGTTCATTAGCAGTATCGCAGGTGCTGTAATTTTTTTAATTTTCGAATTTATGAGCATTGAATTTTTGTTGTTTTAGGGGAGGATATGGGTGGAGCTACAATGCCTGATGCTGCTCTGTTTAGGACTTTGTTATGCAATCGAAATGTTTCATTGGGCATGCCTGGCGGCCGGAGTTCGTGTTTCGAGCTTAAGAGGCAGCCGATGATTGGCAAAAGATTCCATGAAAAAAAGAGGTGGATAATTTGTTTTGGTATTGGTGATTTTATTTTGTTTTTGATTTGTGGAAGCTTTGCTGATTTTTCTTTGTGAATTTCTTAAATATTCCAGAAAACAATTACACGGGAATGCTTGGTACCGTAGAACAAGACCTGTTGTTTATTTAAGTATGGTATGCATTACTACTTTCCAATTTCGTTTTTTCCGTAAAAGAGTCTGATGTAAAGTGCATGGTGAATTTTGTTCAATTCGGATAGAACTGCCGTATTCCCGTCTCGGGGGAATTATAATGGGGGATGAATTGAGTGTAATGCTTCTGTTTGACAATGGGTTCCAATATTCAGGCTTTCGTTATTGTCTTATTGCTTATTTGAATCAGTTTCTTTATAATCAATGATTTTTAGTTGCGAAACTATACAAATTTCAGAATGATTCCAGTGAGTTTCAACCAGCTTTTGTTGACGAGGATGACAATCCAAGTGATTCCCTAGAGATTCGTGAAGATGAATTGTTGACAGCTCAGATAGACCTTTCTGATGTTCGATCCCAGAGAGATGCCATTGAGAAGGAGAGAGATATTCTGCTCGAAAAATTGGCTAAAGCAGAAGCTAAACAACACGAGTACCAAACTGCTCTAATGCATGAAAAGGAACTGACCATTTCAGAACTCGAGGCGGCGAAAGAACTGTTCCATAAGAAGGTACAAGAGTCTATACAGGAGAAATTTGATTTGGAGTCGAAGCTAATTCTGGCAAAACAAGATGCCATTGAACTTGCAGTTCAAGTGGAAAAATTGGCAGAGACTGCTTTCGAGCAGACCACATCTCACATATTAGAAGATGCCCGACTGAGGGTTTCAACTGCCGAAACTTCTGCAGCAGAAGCTGCTTATCAGATTGAGGAACAAGTACGAAGTGCTACTGAAGGGGCCGTACTTTCGATAGTTGACCAGTCAAAATCTGCCATAGAAAATGCTTTAGCTGTCGCAGAATCTACAGGTGACCGCACAAAAAAATTTGTTGCATCTTATGTGGATGATTTGAATTTAGTCAACGAGATTGCCTCTTTGAAGTCTCAGAACGTTAAATTACAGAAAACGATGAATGATTTAGAATCTCAACTGTTGGTTTCGAACAATGAGATGAACAAATTGAAGTTAGAGTTAGAGAAAAGCCGTCAGCAAGCAACAGCGTATGAACTTCTGGCACGTGATACTGAAAAAGAACTGCTTGAGTTTCAGAAGTCAATTAGAGAAACAGCTATTCAACAGGAGGACGAAGTTAAATCACTGTTGGAGAAAATGAAAAAGGACTCTGCTGATAGAAGGAAGGCTACCTCAAAGGCTTTTAAGGCAGAGCTGGAAACTATCCAGGCTGCTATTGAAGCAGCAAAAGAAACAGTTCGAGCAAAAGACGAGGCTTACGTGAGAAGATGTGAAGCGCTGCAAAGATCTTTAAAAGCATCTGAATCTGCATCGAAGGCGTGGAGGCAAAGAGCAGAAATGGCGGAAGCATTGTTGTCGAAGAAAGTCGGGTTTGGTGAAAATGACGATGAAGAAACATACGTGGTCAACGGTGGGCGAGTTGACCTTCTGATGGATGATGATTCACAAAAATGGAAGCTACTAACAAATGGTCCTCGCAGAAAGATACCTGACTGGATGGTAAAGAGAATCGGCTTTATCTGTCCTAGGTTCCCTCCTAGGAAGACAAATATGGCTGAAGCCAAATTATCGAAATTTAAATCTTTGGAGTTGCCCAAACCTGATGAGGTGTGGTCCATCGCCCAAGAAAAGCCAAAAGAAGGTGATACACTGGTTGAGCATGTGATGGAGAAAGAAATAATTGAAAAGAAACGTAAGGCTTTGGAGCGTGCTCTTCAAAGAAAAACTATTAAGTGGCAGAAAACTCCCGAAGAGATAAAATTAGGTATAGATTTCTACATATCATATCATACGATTTATTTTTAAGCATGTCTTTCAAGCTGCATCTTTGATTGCTCCCACCTTTGCAGAGCCAGGAACTGGTACCGGACGTGAGATAGTGGTCAGTATATCTCTCGTTTGATTATTTATTTTAAATTTTTATGGCTCGGATCATCTATTAATTGTGTGAGATGGAAAAGGTTATAATGTAAAACAAAAGTAATTTTTCAAATTCTCGTTTTGAAGTTTCAAGGTTTTAACTGGGAGAGTTGGAGGAGGCAATGGTACCTTGATCTTGCCCCTAAGGCTGCTGATCTGTCACGTTCTGGCATAACTGCAGTATGGTTCCCTCCGCCCACAGAATCTGTTGCACCGCAAGGTAACCCCTGGCTGCCCCCCTCTGATTTTATGCATTTACTTCCCTTTAACTAATGGAGACACAAATTCATTGTTGTATATCATTTCTTCTAAATGCTAAGAGTTATCTTTTCTCCACCTAGGTTTATGATGTTTCTTAGTAGTATTAGTTATAAGATTTATCCGCTGCTCTTGTTTATCGAAATATTTTTTGTTGATTAATGCAGCATGTCTTTGTACAGAGATGACCTATACCATCTGTGTAAAACAAGCTTCGAGTTTTCTTTTGACCTTCATTTGAATTTCCATTATTTGCATTGCTGAGAAGTACAAAATAAATTGCAGGTTATATGCCATCTGACCTGTACAACCTAAATTCAGCATACGGTTCGGTGGAAGAGTTGAAGCACTGTCTAGAGGAAATGCGAAATCAAGATCTTCTGGTATAATTCCATGCATTGACTTAGCATAGTTATCTGGACAGATATTGACGCATGTTTTTGTTGTATAAGTTGTCTGCATTCCTACTCACCAAACTTCATAGTGCAAAAGCAGATTTTGTGCGTTATGAATGACGCAAAACATTGTTTCACACTCCCATCCACAGACACAAAACTCATATTTAAACTATGTATTGTTTATGTAGAGCAATACTCCCTTATTTACCATTGTAAATTTATCTTCGTTTTTCTTTGTCTCTATATTTAAGGATTAGTTAGCGTCTATCTTATGGGTGACTGGAAATAGTAAATGCCAGAGAATGATATATAAGATTCATTTTCTAAACACTATTTCCTCGTAGTTTCTATGCAAAGAATCTCTCTCTCTTTTAGGCTAGATCCCTCTTGTTCAACAATATGCGATTTTTGTGCAATTCGTGTGCTAAGAAGAGATATTTATTTTTTAAGATGAAGTCGCATCATATACTGTTCAATTATGAAGATGATATAGTTACTACATTAGTTCTTGTGAATCTATAACCTTGATTTTGAATTATGTTTGGTATTGTCATGTGTTCCATCTGACTGAAGACCTTGGGAGACGTTGTATTGAATCATCGATGCGCTCATAAGCAGGTATTATATTTTTGTACTTATATGTTTAGCTTTTGAATGTTTTCTCTGTATAAAGATATTTCAAATTACTTCGTGCTTGTTGCCCGAGGTATATGCTGACATAAGAAACGTTTTGTTGGTCAGCAGAACGATATCTTAAGCAGAACGATATCTTAGTTGAAGGTGCTAAAACTACAATGTGATATTTTGCAGAGTCCTAATGGTGTCTGGAACATATTCGGAGGGAAGCTTGCCTGGGGGCCTGAAGCAATTGCGTGTGATGACCCAAATTTTCAAGGGCGTGGCAATCCTTCTACTGGTATGATCATTATGTACTCATCCTTAACATCAAAACAAATCTTTACTAGATAATAGATACTAGACAGCTGACCGATTTTTCATTTATTGAAATGTGCTATGACATAGCAGTGAGCTGTAACTTTGTCGAAACTTTTGCTGCTAACAATAAACAGGTGACATTTTTCACGCGGCACCAAATATTGATCATTCACAGGACTTTGTACGTAAAGACATAAAGGAATGGCTAAACTGGCTGCGAAATGATATCGGTTTTGATGGATGGCGCCTGGATTTCGCAAGGTGAAGGATTTCATGTTGTTTTCTATTCTCTAAATCTCCACTTGGACTGATACACCCTATCAAACCTTACCTAATTGAATTATTTTGTTTGACCTTTAATATGAATCCGTAAGCAGGAAAATTTTTGTTCTATGATTATGCTTTGACTGCTTTTTACCAAAACTAAATCTTCTACTAGTACGCTATAGTCCGATAATTCCATGTTGCTCATCCTACAACATCTGATACTTGGGTACTGGAATTTGCACTTCACCAAACTGATATATTTCCACTTTTCTTGTTTCTGGCAGAGGTTTCTCTGGTAGTTATGTGAAAGAATATATCGAAGCTTCAGATCCTGCATTTGCCATCGGAGAGTACTGGGATAGTCTGGCTTATGAAGGTGGTAATTTATGTTACAACCAAGGTAACTATTCATCACTTTTTTTCTTATAATTCCCAAACACCCTCGAATTTATGATTCAGTTAACAATGTAGGTTTTTCATCTCGTGTTTTTATTTAAGGTTAATGTTTGTCTATTTGTTCATGCATTTATCACATTTTTCAAATGGAATAAGTTATTGTCAAACTCGGAAGAATGATTATGTTCTTCAAATCCCTATTTGTTTCTGGCTGGCATCCATTTTGGTATAATATAGTTTCACCTCCTAGGTGATCGACTAATCTATTTATTTGATATTCATTGGCCTGCAGATGCTCATCGACAACGCATAATTAATTGGATCAATGCTACCGGTGGTACCTCCTCAGCTTTTGATGTCACCACAAAGGTGCTTTTTGAACATTATCTCGCCTGTCTTCTTGATTTCTAAATTTTCTTCAATATCTTACTTTCTCTTCATAATACGAGATCGTCGTTTTTTGCTCCACAAAAGTAATCTTGATTTTTCTAAAAAAAAGTTTCTTAATTTTTAATGCCTCAAAAAAGGTGATGCCAATGTTTTTGTACTAAGGGATGAGCTGAAGGTTATTTATCGCGTTCAAACCCTCATTTCGTAAATAGTAATATTTATGATCAACTATAGCACACGATTTCGCTAAACTGAAAGCATAAGTAGTTACGAACTATACATTTAGGTGGGATACATAGAAATATTGTATCGGTGGCCCAGTTTTGATATAGAAGGCGTTGTTTCTTGATAAAGAAGGATGAAACAGAGAAATAGGGAATGGCATCGGTGCTTCAAAAAATCAATACAAAACCCGAACTTCCCTCTCCAGTAAAGATTTTTTGTCCATGAAATATCCGAAAAGCAAGAATTATTTCCAACCTAACTCTGAGATTTCAGTTAGTGCAACGAGTAGCACTTACGATATTCTAATTTCCATCATTTTGAGTTGTTGTTTAGGGTATCCTCCATTCAGCCCTGCATAACCAATATTGGAGGTTAATCGATCCTCAAGGTAAACCGACAGGAGTAATGGGATGGTGGCCCTCTCGTGCTGTCACATTCTTGGAGAATCATGATACCGGCTCAACACAGGTTCTCTCTCTCTCTCTCTCTCTCTCTCTCTCTCTCTCTCTCTCTCTCTCTCTCTCTCTCTCTCTCTCTCTCTCTCTCTCTCTCTCTCTCTCTCTCTCTCTCTCTCTCTCTCTCTCTCTCTCTCTCTCTCTCTCTCATGTGAAACGTCTCGAGCATAATTACAAGTTGCAACATCTCATTGCAGGGTCATTGGCCGTTTCCAAGAGATAAGCTTCTGCAAGGATATGCATACATTTTATCACATCCCGGGACTGTAAGTGATGTCAAACTTAGTCTCTCTCTATGTTTTATTTCTCGTGTTATTATTTTCGGGAAAACGCTCCCACTTTTCTAATTTTAACCATATATATTATTCGTTTATTTCCAGCCTGTAATATTCTACGACCACTTCTACGATTTTGGCATCCGGGACGTAATAACCGAACTAATCGAAGCTCGAAGGAGGTCAGGAATCCACTGCCGCAGCCCGATAAAAATATTCCACGCAAACAACGACGGTTACGTGGCGAAAACCGGGGAAACACTTGTAGTGAAGCTTGGTCATATTGACTGGAACCCTTCCAAAGAAGTTGACTTGGATGGGAGCTGGCAGAAGTTTGTTGATAAAGGCTCAGATTATCAGTTGTGGTTGAGACAATAATCAATAATGTATTTATAAAGTTATATTGAACATTGCCATCTTTGTCTAGGAAATCCAGAAGCAGTGTAATTAATATATGTGACTCAATTTATAATTAATTAATAATTATATAAAGGGTTATATAGACATTCGTTTAAAAATTTAAAAATAATTGACAATAACATGAAAAGAGAAATTAATACCCTTAAATAAAAATAAAATATTAAATATACTACAGCATAAATATTTTAATTTTTATATTTGCATGTACAATACAATGAAATGATGAATACATCATAAAAGTTTTACTTATATTTTACTACTAGTTATTTTAATTTATTTTCAATATTTTTTAAGTTGAAAATTCTTATATCTAATTAACATTTGAAATATTTTTATTTTATTTCAAGTGGGTTCTAAAATGATGAAAAAATGTATGTTCTAAAACTCGACCATAATATTTTAGGGATTATTAGCAAGACCCCCCTCATCTAGGAAATGTAGTTAAGGAAACCCCCCCTCCCAAAAATAATTAGAGAAAACCCCCTTAGTTAGGATTTCACCAAATGTTACTTTTATAATTCCAAATCTACCCTTATTTGTCAATGTATTATTTTGAAACCCTAATTTCTTTCTTATTTTTTCAGCCCCTCACACCCACCAATGCCTCTCCCCGCCGTCCACCATCTCTGCCCATCACCACTACCACTATTTCTCCCCCGCCGTCCACCGCCACCTGCCGCCCCCGGCGCCCGGCGGCGCTCCGGCGAACGTAGCCATCGCCGTTGCCAGGCTCGGCGGGAAGGCCGCCTTTCTCGGGAAGCTCGGCGACGACGAGTTCGGGCACATGCTCGCCGGAATCCTGAAGGAGAACGGCGTCTCCGCCGACGGCGTGAGATTCGACAAGGGCGCACGCACCGCCCTGATTCGCACGCACATAAGAAAGAAAAATGGAGGTCGAAGGAGTGCAGTTGGATGACAAGGCGAAGAGAATGAGAGATCTGTTATCTAGTTTTTATTCTCCAGATCACTCTTCTTCTTCTTCTTCTTCTTCTCCTTCATCTGCTTCTCTCCCCCGAAACACTTCTTCCAGATTCGCCACACTCGACACTATCAACACCACTTCATTCGACGCCGATCAGTACATGAATCTCCTGGTACTCTTCTTCTCCTCTAACCTTCATTATTATTATTATTATTATTTTTTATATAAATTTATTTTCCTTGAATTGAATCCCCAATGTTTGATGGTTAATTTATTTTTAGTTGATTTATCCATTTCACTATTTGTCTCGGTAGACTTTCTTGTTGGCGGAAATTGGAATTATCAATTTTAATCATTGCCAATTGAGTTCAGAGAATCAACTGTGGATAATTATTTCGTATGAGTACAAATGAAAATGGCAGTGGAACATTCATTTTTATAAGTGTTTTAACAGAATGCTCTGTCTATAAGGATAGTTAGTATATGTACATTCGCTGTACGATCGATTGCTTCATTTTCCTCTACTGAGATAGATTTAATTGTTTGCCTTTAATTGTAGCAATATGTTTTCCCTTGAGTTATTAGCTTACTGAATGATTGATTCTGTAGGTACAAAAGTCAAATCTGGAGGGTCTTCTTCACAAGCATGTTGAAATGGCTGCCGAGATTAAAAATCGGTTGTGTGCGAGGCCATCATCAAGGAGGAGATTGTGAAGAAGGTGCTCAAGACTGATGTTGCTTCATTGGTGGAGCTGAACATGGCTCAAAACCTGATGGGTTCGGCCATGGCAGAAGCTCTGGGTGGTGTGGTGACGATGGGGAGGATGTTTTTTGGTTTTTTTGTGGATTGAACGGATGAAGGCGCGTGTAGAGAATTTTGCGCAGGCTGTTACGTTAATCGACTATGTACATGTTCATAGTCGATTAAGCTAATCGACTATGTCTGGTAGCCGATTAAGGTTCACCGACTCCAATTTTTTTTATTTTTTTTGGATTTTTTGTATATTGCTTTCAATTGTATAAATCATTTATAATATTTTTATATTTTTTTGTTTTTGTAATATATAGTTGATTTTGTATTTTTTTCGCAGTTGTGATTTGTTATTTTTAGTAGCAGATTCTTAATCGACTATGCTTCACATCATAGTCGATTACTATAACTGATATAAAACAAAAATTAAAAACAAAAAAAATATTAAATAATTAAATAATTTCCTTAATCAACTATGAAGCATAGTCGATTAAGGCTTAATCGACTATGCTTCATAGTCGATTAAGAAAAAAACGGAAAAAAAAAAAAAAAAAATTGCTGAGCGTGACCCAGTGATGATGTGGCGGGTGGGGGCAAAGCTGGAAAGCATAATGGCTGAAAATGGGTGTGGACTTTTCTCAAATGGACTAAAATATTTTGGGCCTCCCTCAATTAAAAAAAATAATGAGGGGGTTTTCTCAAAGAGCCCCAATATTTTAATTACAAATATTAATTTCTAATTCAAAGAAAATAAAATAGTAAGAAAAAAATCATTTAATTATAATTAAATATCAAAAAAGTTTATTATAAGAAAATGGAGATGCGGGGGATCGAACCCCGTGCCTCTCGCATGCAAAGCGAGCGCTCTACCATTTGAGCTACATCCCCGATTGTTGTTTAACTCAGACAAAATATATTAATCTTCTGTGATTTTCTAATTTACAATCAATAAATATAATTTATTGTTTATATATAAATCGCAGCTTTAATAAATTATCCGCAATAAATAAATAAAATTAGTGGGACCCATTGTGAGGATGATATACAATTATTCTTGGTTACTAAAACAAGAAAAGGCTATAAAGTGCACGATTTTATTTACAGCATTTAAACGTATCATTTATAGGAAAATGTCACTCTCCTCTCTTTCTATTTTTCTTTTAAATTTTATTTTTGTCACTTTCTTTCTATATAAATCAACAATTATATATTCATTTCTTCTGTACATTAAAATTTTCAGAAACTTCAGTTCTTTTGCAGTTCTACTGCATCACCATTTCTTTTGTGCCATGCAACCTCAGTTTCTGTGCCCATCTCCAACCTAATTAAACAGCTAACAATATATATATACACACACATATATATATATATATATACACATGTGGAGTATCATGTGACATGTTCTAAATGTGTCACAAATTAAATAAGTAACATTTGTAGAGGGGAAAATACAATGAAGGATAAAGAGAATGAAATTTAATAGCCACTTTTATTCTACTACATGTTTGCACAAAAAAAGTTTTCACATTTTGATTATTTAAATTGCTTATACTCTCCTTTTTTATTTAATAAATAGATCGTTACCTTGTAATTAGAATTTTCTACTTATATTACTATTAATTTGATAATATATATACACAAACTCATATTTTCAACTTTGAAATTATTTAAGACTCATTTCATGTTCAAGATATCGTCGATTACTAGGGAAGATATGACAAATAATTTCTCAATAAGTCGAGACAACAACTTATTCCGTGAAAGTTATTGAACTAACAAAATATCTATATACTAAGGGCTCGTTGGTTACCGTAGTGAGGTTCTACTGACTAAATAATAGCAGAATTTAACAGATTTAATACAAAATCTAATCCAATGAACGAAACCTTGTATTATATAATTAATTAGTCAGTAGAGATCATTGATTTAATCTCATCTAATTCAATATAATCCGATATAGGTGACCGAACGAACCCTAAAATATTTGATTAATCACGGTTTTATTTTACCAACCAAGTGTTATTGGAAATTTCAAATTAATTTTCTTCTTGACAACTTTTATAACATAAGTATTATTGAAATATTCAAATACAAAAGCTACAAACTTTTATTAATTAAAACTGCGGCGGGAAAGAAAATCACATAAAAACATTTTAAAAAGAACAAATAAAAATTCAACAAAATTAATTTTTTTCTATAAAAATAATCGAAAAAGAAAACTTAAATCTCATCCCACGCGCTTGTTTTAAGCGTGATCCACCCCCACTACTCCCTACTTCCTTTCCCCCTTTTTATCCATGGAGCGTAAGCATTCACCTAAAATCTCTACCGTCCATCAAAATTAAATATCTCAATCAATGGCTGAGATATTTAGAGACAATGACACGCCGACGTTTCTCTGGTCTGGAGATACCGAACCTCATGCCCGGACCGAGGTTCGGACCCGAGCCTAAATAATTTTCTATTTTATGTAAAGAATTTCTTGATGGCTTTAAAAAACAAAAACAAAACAAAAAAAAAAAAAAAAAAAGAAACCTTCTCGCTGTTCAGAGAGAGAAAGTAAGCAGTGAGCAGTAAGGGGACCTTTACGTACATACCTACATATATGTATATGTAGAGAGAGAAAGTAGTAGCAATTTTTCCGTAAGAGCTCAATCTGAAGCAAATTGCAGTGTTTTGATGTCCATTTGCGCGAATTACCTCGCATTTCAAAGTAAGTTCAGAAAAGTATTTACACGGAACTAATTATCCATTGTTGAATTCAGATCACACTCCGAACACTTCAAAAATCTCCGATTGTTGCTGCTTCTGTGAGCTTGCAGCTTTTATTGAAATGTTTGAGCTGTACAATTGAATAATTTAAGCTGCGATTTGTCTGTCTTCTGCTGTTAATTTTGGTTGAAATGGGTGTTGGGTTTGATTTTATTTTGAGGGTTTCGTTTGTGGTTTTTGAGGAATTTAATGTCAGTTCTGTGACATGCAAGAGCCTTTTAGCTTGTTAATTTATTTTTCTTTTGTTGATGGGATTTTGGATTGTGCCCTAAATTCCTGCTTGTGCATGGTTAATTCCATGGTTAAAAATTGCTTTTGGAAATTAATGATGCTAATTAAACTTAGTTGAACTTTGCTAGTGTCAGTGGTTGGTTTTTTATGGCCTTAATTTGGTAATATTAAAAAATAAACGGTTGTTCTGATTAATTTGTTGTCGGTTTGACCTTTTGGAACTCGATTATTTTTGGTTTGTGTATCTTAATTTGGTAGTAATTCTGAACTAGTTCTCTTACCAAGTCATTTAATGCTTTACTCTTCATGTTCGACAGAGATATTCCTCGGTTGGAGAGCGTATTTACTTGGCTTAGTTGGCTGAAGGACTAAGTTGCTCAACAGACTCGGCGCAGTTTTTTATTACAACTGAATTTCGAAGGGACTTTAATGGTTGAGGGCATCTAGGCGAATACCCTTTCCAGTCGAAAAATTCTCGGATCTTGTCCAATTTGCATTACCTTCTTTAGGACCAACTATAGAAGCCGAACCATATTTAATGTACAGATGTTGCAGCGCCAAATCATGTTCAAGCAACTGCAGGAACTGCAGCGAAGGCAACAGCTCCAGGAATTGGGCAATGCCAGAAACCAGGATTACGTTGACCACCAACTGTCATCACTAAAACAAGATCCACAAATGTTCTCTATTGGTAATGTGCAAATGGCGCAACATGGTGGATCCCCCGTTTTTCAAGGGTTCCATAACGGATTAGGTCCTATGGGCCTTTCTCAGCCTCAGTTTGACGTATCTTCATATGGTAACTCAAATCAATATTCTCATAACCTCCAAGAGGCACCACCGTTTGCCAGCTCATTTACGAGTCAACAAGGCAATTTCGGACAAGTCCCCGTTCAAAGTTTAAATACTGGTTGGCTCGGAATTTCTCATGGGGAAGCATCAGAGATCGCATCTGATTCGTTGGATCCACTTGAACAGAAAATATTGTATAACACAGAGGATAATAATAGCTGGGAATTTTCTTTCGGTGGGAATAGCAAAATGGAGAACACGTCTTATATGGATGCATTGCCGTCGACTCAAAAGGGTAGCTGGAGTGCTCTGATGCAATCTGCTGTGACGGAAGCTTCTAGTAGCGATACTGCGATGCAAGAAGAGTGGAGTGGGTTGAGCTTTCAGAACCCTGAGTTGTCAACTGAAAATCAGCCATCAAGTTTCGTTAATAGTGAAAACCCGCACAATAATTGGGTTGATAGGAACTTGCAAAATGTGTCCTCTCCAAGTTCGGAGCCGTCGAATATGAACTATAGTCCTCAGGGTTTTAAGCAACCAGAGTACCAATATCTCAAACAGAGAGATGAATTTCAGCCTAATGTTTTCTCTTGCTCAACTGAGAAAAACCCCTGCATTGACTTTTCAGGTAGTAATTAATGTGTCGTAACTGTCGTCTATTATCTTCTTTTGGTTTTTTTATGGGGTGAAAATTTATGATTGGTGAGATTGCCAAGAATTAAAGGTGATTCTGAATGAGACACGTGTAAATGCATGGATATCGATGTTTTGTTTATGGCTTGATGAAGATAAATAGTATGTGAAAATGGAGATATTGACTTCAATGAAGAAAAATGATTGGGGTTTTCATTCTTATGCAGGTCATGAATTAAAAGACACTTTATGGCTTCCCGGGAATACATCAAATTCCGTATCTGATGGCATTCAAAGGTGCTAGTTTAAAAAATGATGAAATTTTATTAGGTTACCTATGTACAGTTGTAGCAATAACCTCGGATCATCAATAAGTACATAATAATTCTGTTATTCTTCTTGGATATGTAGCATTTATTTTCTTGATGTGCTATTTTTGTATTAATCCAGAGATTGTTCCCCCGGGATGCAATTGACTTCAAAAGTATCATCTCTCAACCAATTGCCGCTAACCGAAACTTCTGTTGCATCCATTGCTAATCCATGCAACACCAGCCATCTCGAGTCGCAAGGTTTTGGCTTTAGACCGGGCCCGACAGATGTCGGGACGACACAGTCACACTCATTATTCCCATCTTTTTCAATGGTCGGTAAAAAACGTTTTTTCAATGGGGACACCACTTTTTTCAATGATTTCTCACCACATGAATAAAATCCCTATTTATATGTCCGGAATAACGATGTTTAACTCTCCTACATGCAGGGAAACTCAAATGCCACCTCTGTTTCAAGTCATTATGGGAATGATTATATCAAGAATCAGCTTCCAGCTCCATCGGTACAAAGTCACATGACTACTAAACTCCCAGCATATAACGCTGCTTCCTCCCAAGTTAATCGTCAACTGAAAACTGCCAGCTTTAGCGGTCCTGAGTTTCCATGGTCAGATATTAACTCACAGCAAGATATGTCTTCCTCAAAACCGAACAGGTTCTCAGACAGTTTGTTTCAGTCCCCTGATTCAGCTTCCAGCAGTCTAGAGACTACTTCGGGAGCTCCAAGTGAGCAGCCCAATCAGAGCCGTTTCAAACATGAACTCAACGTGCAAGAATTCCGCACAAACTCTGGGAAATCAGGATATGGTGAACAGAGATTTGAGAAAGAAAGTTCCTTCGATGAGGGCTCGACTGAGATGCATAATCCAACATCTCTAAGCATAAATATGCAGACACAGGAGTCTTTAAGAGCCTTTGGCCACTCTTTGCATCAAAATGACCCCCTTCTGCACAAATTGCATTCTCCTAGAAATGCTGAAATCGACTATGGTAAGAATTTGCCACTTAAATATGATTCGGTCAATTATCAGACAATCGCCAATGCAAGGGAGCTGTTGTTGAGTGGACAGAAGCAAGTACTCCAAGACAGTGAAGATAAAAAGGGATGGAACTTTTCGCAAGACAAAGAAGATCATTCAGGCAAAAATAATGCCCAGAATAATTTGATTGGCCGCAATGAAGTTTCTAATACAGCATATCAGTCACCGACCACTTTGCAAATGTCACCACCCTGGTTACAGCATTATGGAACCTTAAAGAATGGGTTAACTATTGCAAATGTGCATGAAAATAGTCCGATTATGCAAGTAAACTCAGCTAATGCTAGTCAAGGCAGTGGCGTATGGCCATCTTCAGCTGTCGCCTTGATAGCGAGTCAACATTTATCGTCCCCTAGCATGTTGCCTTCAAATGTCTCTAATTATCAAAATTTGGCTCTTTCAAAACCAATGAAGCGCAAAATTATTGCATTTGAAATGGTGCCCTGGCACAAGGAAGTGAATCATCAAGAACCGAGGCTTCATAATATCAGGTGCGTCAGTGGAAGCTGTTTTCATTACAAGAAAATCTCAGTTAATTTGATGTCTTTTACCATCACCGCCTACTTTTTTTATAAGATGAGCCTATAATTACTAGACTTTCTTCTACCAGCGAAGTCATTTTGGAAGTGATAAATAATGCTATAATGGTTATCTAATTTTCCCTTTTGCTAAATCTCTTTCGAGTTGACAGAATGGCCGAGTTAGAATGGGCACAAGCTTCAAAAAGAAGGGAAGAGGAGGTGAGCTGATTTAGTACAAAGCTATAATCAATTTCTCTATTTTATTAATCGAATCCTCTTGATCAAGGCATTTTTTGTTATTACCAGGCTGAAATTGTTGAAGATGTTGTCCCATTGGCTCGAGCAAAAAGGCGGCTCATTTTTACAACACAGCTTATGCAGCAGGTCTTTAGACCTGCCCCAGCAGTTATTCTCTTTGCCGATGCCAAATCAAACTGCGATGACGTGGCATATTCTGCTGCTAGATTAGCATTAGGGGATGCATGCAACTTGATTAGTAATCTGCCACCTGATAACACTGACATGTATAAGAAGTGCTCTTTTTATTTTTCCCTTTCTTGTTTATTGAAAATAATTTCTAATCTCTAGTTCAAAAAAATTAATAGCTTCCATTTCTGACCTCCTATTTTCGCATTATAATATGTGCAGATCACCAGACAAGCTGAGGACTTCGAAGAAACCCCGTGTCTGTGATTTATCGAAAGTCGTGGAAGGCTTAATTAATCGAGTGCAGAAGCTTGAAGGTGATCTATCGAGGTACGAATATGACTGTTATACTTGGAAACATTTCTATCTATATTTTATTTTTCAAATTATATTACTATGAATTAAGCGGGCAATATTTTCTTTTAGCAGATCATTTTCTTACATGTTCTAATATATTTTTATTTTCCGGATAAAAAAAAAACGCCCGATTGTGGATTTGATGATGCAGACTGGACCAAAAAATATCGATTGTAGACATCAAAGTCGAAATCCAGGAACTGGAGAAGTTCTCCACAATCAACCGTTTTGCAAAATTCCATGTCAAGGCCCACTCGAGCACAGTTGATTCCACATCATCTTCTGGCCAATCAACTGTACAAAAACCGAACCCCCAAAGATATGTAAGGGCACTTCCATTACCCAAGACTTTACCCGAAGGGACAGATTGTCTTTCCTTGTGATCATCGATGAAAGTAGTAATACTTAGGCCTTAACTCCCTCATAACTACTCTGCATTGTGTTCCGTCTCTGCCAATATCTACTAACATTTTCCTGGCCCATGAAATCGGACAAGGGGAAACATGCAAGTGAAATCAGGTTATTGTTCTTGACTTAAATCGATTGAGACCCTTCTTCAATTTTGATGTAGTATACATATATAATATATATATTGGTCTCTGTACATGTGCATGAGAGATTTTAGGAGCAGGCCGCTGACCTTTTAAGGATTAATTAAATGGATTTGTAATTGTACCGTTTCGTTCGTTTTAGTGCATACTGTTGAATCTTCTGTTGTGTAAGATTTGTATTATTTTCTCTCCCTCCGTTTGTTTCTTTTTCAGGGTAAAATAAAATAAAAATAAAATACATCCATGTTAAAATCAAGAGTAGCTTAAGAAAAGGGCATCTGAGTATTTTATTGGACCTATTGAAGAAAAGGGTATCTGAGTATGCCTTTAGAAGCTTCTGAATAATACTTTTCAGTTCTTTTAATTTTGCTCTGACAAGTACGAGGTTTGTTCCCAGACAGTGATTTTGTGGCCCCCAAAACCCCTCTCGTGTCAGCAAAAAGACAAACAGCAGTCTTTTCTCTGTGCCTGCGTCGTGCCTTTCTTTATATTTCCTGTCTAATAAGATGTTGAATGACAGGTCAGCAAAAAAAACCAAGATCCTGCTCTGCAATAAAAAAATAAAAAATACAAGATTTGTCAGCATATGATGGTTCGGTCATGTGAGAGACTGATGTCAGAGAAGATGAAGAAAGCAATATTTTGGTCAATTTGTGCGTCATAATAAACAAAGAACTTTAATTAAAAAATAAATAAAAAATACAAAACTAAATAAATAAACTTTCTATAGCTTGATATTTTGAGAACATATATATATTGTGATGCCTTGAAAAACTGATGTTTTTTGCAACAGAACAAAGGCCGTGTGTTGTGTATATTACCTGTCTCGTAAATTCGTCGCTGAGTAGTTATTTTCATACCAAAGCGATGACCACAAGAATGCACTTTTTCCAGGTACAATAGAGCATCTGAATGACCAACAAACTCACAATTCATAACAGAACAAAGAGAGAAACAAACAAGACTGAAAATTTTCCAACAACTGTGACCAAAAATAATAAATAAATAATTAAGAAAGGCTGAAAAAACTCGACACCCCATTCATTATACACATACAAAAGAGAAGCAGCGGTCTGAGTTACGAGACCAAGGAAACAAAAAAGGCAATGGCAACTCCGCATATAATAGCAGTCCCTTACCCAGCACAGGGCCACGTGATTCCCATGCTGGAAATCACGCAATGGCTTGTAAAGCAAGGCATCAAAGTCACCTTCGTGAACACAAACTTCAACCACCAACGTGTCATCGACTCACTTTCTGATTCAGACAACATAAGACAGCTACTGAACATGGTCTCCATGTCAGATGGAGTGGAGCCATGGGAGGACAGAAACGACCTCGGAAAACTAACACAGGCAATTTCCAAGACCATGCCCGGTCAACTCGAGGCCCTTATCGATGAAATAAACGGTAAAGGAGGAGAAAAAATCACCTGTGTTGTAGCTGATTGGAGCATGAAATGGGCTCTTGAGGTAGCAGAAAAATTGGGGCTCAAGAGAGCAGCGTTCAGCGCACTATCTGCTGCTATTTTGGCTTTATCGGTCAATATACCGAAGCTAGTCAGTGATGGGATTATCGACAGTAATGGTAATAAGCCTATTCTTGTATAATATATTAATATTTAAATAACCTTGGAGATATATATATATATATATATATATATATAT